GAAAGGACAACACTAACACTGCACTGCACTAATACACGTATAAACATACTCTATGTATTGAAAACATGTATCACAACAAGAGAACATAACCCTTTTGCATTCACACTAATTACACAATTATTAATTATTTACATCATATCTAGTAACAATAAATCTCTTATACTGCACTCATCATATTTAGATATAAACAACAATTATAACGATAACCAATTTGATAATGTATCATAATATAATATTATTATTATATTAATACGTTACAAATATATACATAAATATATATATATATATATATTTGTATATATCCTATACCATAATATTACAACAATCAATCAGATAAAGTTTACTAATAATATCATTTTCAAATAATACATTCATGCTGCACTATTAGCAACAATATAATATTGTTGTTAATTGTTCATAACGTTCATATTATACAATTGATAATTAAGTTTCGTCGCATAATGAAAGTCTATGTGTACGTGACTTTTCGAAGTCATTTCTGTGGTCACAAGTATGGTAAACACATGTTGCATTGTCCTATGGAAAAGGACACTTGAGATATTTTTTATATTCTTTCAAGAATTTCTCGGTTTTATGACTCTAAAGAAACTAGAGATTACATTTTCTTTCGCTATTCCACTTGATTTATGACAATTCTAAGAAATGTTGATTTTCAAATACATTTTTGGAATTTGGAAACTATTAAACCGTAAAGTATTATATTTTACAATAGTCAAACTTTCTTGTTTAGTCTCGTCAATATTTGTCAAAAGTCGTAAGAAAATCCTAAAATAATTAGATTATTAACGAAATTTTATTGTTTCGCGCTTCGATAACTCGTTAATCGATATATCGAAAAGTTAACGAGCGAGATGGCAGTCGCTCGTCACAGTGTACGGTCACCTTCGGCTGCGGTTACACCTCTGCAGGCAGCCTGCCTGCCTGCAGGTTGTCATGGTAACGTACAAGAGTAAGAGAGTCAGTGACTTCAAACTTCTCCCTTACTCTCGTTGCTCCTGCCTGCGCAGGCAGGCAGCCTGCAGAGGTGTAACCGCAGCCTTCCACTCTCCCTAAAGGCGCTCTCACAGCTAGTAGGCAGCATACAAATTTGAATTTACTATCTCTTTCACTCTAATTGATTTTCTCTCTTACTCCAATTACTGCCTGCGCAGGCAGGCAGAGCTGTGAGAGCTCCATAATACTCTCTGGATCTTATTAGCGAAATGAACCGCGCATTTTTAAAACGTTTAATACCCAGTCGAGAGCGAACATATTTGATTGGGGCGCCTGTATATCCCCGTTTTTAAAAAGTCCAAAATGTAATTTGATCAAAATTACAAATTATGTCAAACGTTAAATCCATATAAATGCCATTCGACATAATGTGGCTTTACACAAACGTTTACTTAATAAAATGAGTTTATCCAAGAAATTGTTTTTCAGCAAATGGGCTAAATTATTCAAAATAATATTTTAGTAACCATCTTGTCAAAAAAGCAGCGAATCAAAGATTATCTGTTTAGACAAGTCACCCGTAGAGGAACTGTAATTTCTTTGTCAACATTTTCTATTCTTCTAAGGTTAATTTTAAATTAAAAAAAAAATTTTCAATAAAACAATGTTTCAATGAGAAGCCTACATATAGAGTTAAAAACAAGAGAAAAAAAATATACCTATTTATTAATATAAACAATAATTAAACATTTAAACTAACCTCAAAATAAAATTTCAAGACAATATTTATCCTAATTAATTTTCCGAACTGGTGTCACTCGTTTCCTTATGGTATGTGTCAAATTTATTATGACTTGCCGTATGGTTGGAATTTTTAACCTAAAAAATAAAAACAATTTCAATATACCTTTAATATTAATTTGTGTGATTATCAAGATTTATATTGATAAAAATAAATTTCAATTAATTTTTTCTTTAATATTGTTATTTATAATTAATAAATTAATTATTTGTTATTTACTATATGTTATTATATATATTTATATAATATTAAAAGTAAAACTAACCTCAATGCACAATTTAATTTTCTTCTTCTTCTTACTGTCATATATTGCACCTATAATTTAAACCTGAAAAAAAATTAATTCGCATTAAAATAGTTAAACTATTTATTTACTTATTTATTTATTCATTAAAAAACAATACTTATCTTAATTAATTATACAACACGTTTGTATATTCCATTCTGCACAGATTATCGTAAACAAAACAAAACTGCTTTACCAACAAATTCTTTATTTTGAAATTTGACACAACTATAGGTAATTTCACTTTCTGCATTATCGACTCGTGGTACGAGTTACCGACAATATGCTTGAAATAGTTTGTACATCACCACGGCGCTAGTAGTACAAGCGCGCACTGGTGGGGACGCTCGAAGTGGTGGGGACACGGGTATATAAGCAGGCGCCGAGACGAGACTGGCACTTCATGCTCAGCTGTGTTACAGGTAAGCAATAGTACCAAAGCCTTGTTAAGGCAGACGGACGTAAGCTGTATTACAGCAAAGCCTTATTAAGGCAAACGGACGTAAAGCTGTATTACAGCAAAGCCTTATTAAGGCAGACGGACGTAAGCTGTATTACAGCAAAGCCTTATTAAGGCAAACGGACGTAAAGCTGTATTACAGCAAAGCTTTTTTAAGGCAGACGGACGTAAAGCTGTATTACAGCAAAGCCTTATTAAGGCAGACGGACGTAAAGCTGTATTACAGCAAAGCCTTATTAAGGCAGACGGACGTAAAGCTGTATTACAGCAAAGCCTTATTAAGGCAGACGGACGTAAAGCTGTATTACAGCAAAGCCTTATTAAGGCAGACGGACGTAAAGCTGTATTACAGCAAAGCCTTATTAAGGCAGACGGACGTAAAGCTGTATTACGGCAAAGCCTTTTAAAGGCAGACGGACGTAAAGCTGTATTACAGCAAAGCCTTATTAAGGCAGACGGACGTAAAGCTGTATTACAGCAAAGCCTTATTAAGGCAGACGGACGTAAAGCTGTATTACGGCAAAGCCTTTTAAAGGCAGACGGACGTAAAGCTGTATTACAGCAAAGCCTTATTAAGGCAAACGGACGTTAAGCTGTATTACGGTAAAGCCTTTTTAAGGCAGACGGACGTAAAGCTGTATTACGGTAAAGCCTTTTTAAGGCAGACGGACGTAAAGCTTTATTACGGCAAAGCCTTATTAAGGCAAACCGACGTAAAGCTGTATTACGGCAAAGCCTTTTTAAGGCAAACGGACGTAAAGCTGTATTACGGCAAAGCCTTTTAAAGGCATACTGAAAAGACTAGAGCTGTTTTACGGCAACGAATACAATTTTTAACGATAGACCCATCGTTAGGGCATACGGATAACGTTAAATTTTTTGAAATTTTATGTACATACGTGTTTTCTTTTCTCTATTCATTAATAACAAGATTACGCGGGTTAATTTCGTTTTTAAAATAATGAATAATACCTCTTGTTCTGACGAGGCATTAAAAAATTGTTACACTCAAAAAGCGACTAATAAGTAATTTTTTCTCTTCAATTAATCCTGATTGTTACATAGATCGTTTAATTATCGTGTGTACATTTAATTTTTAACGTTATTCGACAGTTTATTAAATAATCGTTGATAAAATAAGTCCCCGAGTGCAGTCCTATGGCATCGTTATTTGTTTTGCTTTTTGTATCTTGACTATTAAAAGAATTCATTTTAGAAACTTTATAAATTATTTATTCTCTACATTATATTATGCAGACTTTTTTCAAATTTCTATCAAAACTATAATTATTTTAATGAAAATTTTGTTAAATAATTCATCTTTTTGAAAATGATTTTCTCAAATAATTGATTATTTTCTAATTTCAAGACAATATAATTGAATTTCAAAGATTTTTTTTAAACTACTAATTGAATTTCGTTTTAAAAAATTTTATTATCATTTTTGTAAATAGTTGCTTGATCTCTAATAATTTTGTGAATTTAATGTAATGGAAATTCTAGAAAAAAATATATATAATTATATTAACACAAGTAGTCCCTACTAAAAATAAAATCAGGAATGATCAGACAAATGGTCAGGCCGCCTGACCACTTTAATCCAGTTTTCTTACGATTCTGGATGGATCTCGTCAGAAATCTATCACAACTGATCAGGAGGAAGTTTAAAGTGGTCACAACCCGAGTAAAAAAGTAGCGTGGGCTATGTATAGCCTACATACAATTTAGATAGGTTTAAAGTCGTCCTCCTATGTAGACCATTTAATATACATACGAGGTACATACTACGTAGGCCTTTCCTACATAAGCGTTTTAGATGTAGGCTGTATGTAGATCTCAAATAGGCCAGCCTATGTAGGTCTGCTTATATAATACCTATATACCATCTACATAAACTATCCTATATACAAAGGACATAGGTCATCCAATGTAGAATCTACATAGAATTTTAATAGACCAGCCCATGTAGGCCTGCTTATGGAAAATCTATGTAGAATCTACATTGACATTCTTATATTAAAGTGATATAGGCCGTCTAACGTAGACTGTACATGGACTTTTAATAGACCAGCCTATGTAGACTTGTTTATACAAAATCTATGTAAAACCTACATAAACATTATGATATCAAAGGGACATCGGTTATCATATATAGGCTGTACATCGACTTTTAATAGCCTATTCTATGTAGGCCTGCTTATGGAAATTCTATGTAGAATCTACATTGACATTCTTACATCAAAATGACATAAGTCATTCTATATAGACGTTATATAGATTTTTAATAGGCCAGCCTATGTAGGTCTGCTTATACAAAATCTATGTAGAATCTACATTGACATTCTTACATCAAAATGACATAGATCATTCTATATAGACGCTATATAGATTTTTAATAGGCCAGTCTATGTAGGTCTGCTTTTACAAAATCTATGTAGAATCTACATTGACTTACTTATATCAAATTGATGTAGGTAATAAAATGTAGCATCTACATAGATTTTTAGCCTTCTTGGGTCCATTTTCTCTGGCAATTTAGTCAGTCTTGATTTTTCTTTCACGCGAGTGACACGTTATAAGTGGTTCCTCTCGTCCGTAAAAGTGAAATAATTAAAATTCGTTACTATTTATATCGAATTGTGTTTTAAGACATTAATTTAGAATTTAGTTCACTAATTTTAAACTTTTATTAGTTTAATATGTTTTTAAAATTATTATTAGGACACTAAGTGTTAATAAGTTACATTAGTTTGTTGGACAATTTAGTACGAACATCTATTGTTTGAATTTGGTAAGTAATATTTTTGAAATCAATTCTATATCTAGGTATTTAATATTTAAATTTATTAAAATAAAAAATTATAATTTTGCAGGCGTAGAGAGTAAACATCATAAAGGAGACAGGTGTGTTACTTTAATTTAAATTAAAAGTAATTAATAATAATAGTAGTAGTAGTAGTAGTAGGAGTAATAACAAATATATAATAATAATTAAAACTAAAATCTAGAAATATAACATAAACTTGATATTTTACTTCATTTTTATTTTCTTTATGTATGTACAAGCGAAGTGGTGCTATATCACATTGTATCGCTTCTCTCACTAAATGACTCACACAAGTCCGAGGAAACCACTTGAACGGATCTTATTTCTACACAAAAATGCATGATTCCTAAAATAATTCTCAAAGAAAAAGTTTTTTTCCTTTACATGTGCTTTGTTACTAAGTCAATCATGATGTTACTTCGAACCATATTTATCTTATGCCTCACAAACTATTCTTTTGCAATACAAATGCGTATAAGATTATCGAAGGTAATTTTTCCCTATAAATATACACTGTAAAAAAATTTTCAGCATTTTTTTGAACAAATACGGACAGCACGGAACTTCAAACGGTGGAAATTTTTCTGAATAAATAAAAGGAATTATCTTCCATGAATTTCGGAAATATTTCCTACTATTTATTCGGAAATTGTACTTAAATCATTTGAATATTTATGTAAAAAATCAAAACTGTACATATTATATTTCTACCGATTTGAACTCTCAGCCTTATAGTGCTGTTTGTGCGTAGGGGTTTTTTTTAATGAAACCTTCAACCATTGGGAGTGCGCGCCTAGACGCGCTCGTTCAAGGGAGGCTATGAGAATATGCTGCAAAAGTATCAGTTTTAAGAAACATGTGGAGTAAAATATGTTCTTTCTAACTTCTATGGAATTTCGAAAGATTCAATCTCTTTAAAACTGTTGACCAACCGATTCATTGTATTGTTAACATTTTTTTCACATTTCCGTTAAATTTAGGATATATATTTAGCTTTTTGAGGAATATTTGAGAACTATTTACTTCATACACAGACAAATTGTATAGAAAAATTATTTTTCTAATTGAACAGTTTTTAAATTTAAATCAGTAAAAATAAAATAATTATTACTCTTAAAATTTAAGTAAGTGAAAATTCGCTTATCGGATAAAATTTAGTCATTTTTTACAGTGTATAATTTATTAAAGTATTTGAATTAAAATATCAATTTCAACGTAAAAATATTCCTTGTTATCAACATTGTTTTAAATATTATTAAAATGTATATAATAATTTCATTCATTTCCAGGTACCCTTCCTTTTAAATCTGCAGTGAAGGAAGAAAAATATTTCAAGCCAGAGATCCAATCACAAATCGGGCACATTTTGAACCGATTATACGATTGAGGCTGCGACAAAAGTCAAAGAAGGAAAGATAATCAAAATGCTGCAGCCAAAAAATAAAATTTTTTTAAATTAAATTAGTGACATTTTAAAATTTGAATTTTTTAATATCTTGTATAATGCGTATGATTAAAAAAAATAAAACATTTTTTAAATGAATTATAATATATGTTTTTATTGATAAAAAATAGAAATAAAAATCCTTTATAGATCCTACGTTATTCTGCCTATATAAAGGTTATTTACGAAACTTACCTGCAGTAAAAAAGTTCTATAGCGAATTCGATGGGGAATTCTATAGAATATTCTATAGAATATTTTGTAGAATTTATCTAAAAAAATTTTTTAATTTCTGCACGAATTGTAAAGAATTTGACTAGAAATATTTAAAATAATTCGTGAAAAAAAATTAAAAAATTATTTTCAGATAAATTCTACAAAGGATTGTATAGAATATTCTATAGAATTCCCTATCGAATTCTATATAGACTACTCTATAGAATCATTCTATAGAACTTTTTTGACTGGGTACATAGTTCCTATTACAATTGGTCTACATAGAGTGGACTTAAAATTCCTATATAGAAACTATAATATCAAGTCTACATAGGAATTATGTATAACCGTAATGTAGATCATACATCATTTAACCCATGTAAATATAACGTACGAATTCTATGTAGATTCTACATAGACTGAACGACGTAGTGAGTATGTACACCTTCTACGTAGGACCAACATCTTTTACCATACATAGAACAGATGTAGATGAGCGTTACATTCTTATGTAGTAGGTAATACATCGTTTGGCCTATGTATAATCTACAGTATGAATCCTATGTAGATTCTACAAAATCGAGCCTATGTAGAATAGATGTCGAACAGCGTTACATTCTTACGTAGGCAGAATGTAGGATTTGAGTCGCAGGCCTATGTCGCCAGGTAGGCTGGCTGACATAGGCCCTATATAGAAACGACATTAAATTTTATTCGGGAAGTTTGCTACTATCCCCTCCTCTTTGTTGACCCCGCCCATAATTGGTGACTATTTGAGACCATTTGTATCTCATTTTTGACCATATTTTTAAGCCACTTCTGTTTTATTTATTTAAACAATATGCAAAAAGTTGCAACAAATTAATTTTAAAAAATATATTTTATTAATTAATATCAGTTTGTTTACATACGGAACAACTTGAAACTAATTCCCGGAATTAAATTAAAATTTGGACCCTACGGGGATCGAACCCCGACGCATGACCTAACCTAGTGCCTAAACTAACTGCCCTAACGACTGCGACTACCGAACCGACTTACATATTTCTGGATTCAACTGTCCATATAAAGAGCAACTGTAAAATAGTAAAATTCAATTACCAATATTATCAATAAATCAGAATAAACTGTTAAATAATTTTTATTAATTAATTATATTTCAATTTAGTCATAACAGGTTATGTGAATTAATAAAAGTTAACATTATTAATTGAATCAATAATAAATTAAGTCTTAACTTTACAATTTGGAATGTTTCATAAACTATAATACGAATACAGATTAATAATAATTATTATTATATCTGCATTTAAAATGAATTTAGTATTTAATATTAATTTAATTTAACATTATAATTTATAATAATAATGAATTATTAATGCAATATTGAAATTTTTATAAATTTTAAATTTAAATTATTAATAATCATTATAGTAAGAAATTATTCTATTAATGATTAATAATAATTTAAATATAACTGAATTTCAATTATAATGCAAATACTTCTCATAATAAGTACTGACTGGTATAGTAAATTACTAATATTATGAATCAAAATTTATTATTAATTAACTATATTAAATAATTACAAGTAAATATACATGTATTAAATTAATATATTATAAATATACATTAAATAAATATATTAAATAATGTTGAAAGAATGGTCCGAATGTTTTGATTTATTTACCTACTTTTGCTGTATAATTAATTCAATAATTATACCAATTTGAAAAATGAGAACTTTTGTTAAGTTAAAAGAATTATTTTTATAATAGAATAATGTATTCTGAAATGTAAAAAATAAATTTGAAAGATTTGTATATATAAATTTTCATGAGACTTTACCAAAATTAGAAAGATGTACCAAAATTTTTATAGGTTATGTGTTCACACATTTCAGAAATAGTCAAGAATTTCAGAAATGGTCAGGAATTTCAGAAATGGTCACAGCTTCGAAAATGGTGGGAGTAAAGTGGGAGGAGCTTGGAAAGTATTTGGTTAGGAATGGTGAGAAACGTTCGAAAACGTCAGAAGTGGTGAGACTGTTCAGGAATGTTGAGAAATTCTGACCATTCATGACGATTCCTGATTTTATTTTTAGTAGGGGTAGCTTGTAGTTGCTAAAATTTTTAAAAAATACCCAAATAGCCTAATTATAAAACCCAACGCAAAACGATGTCATTAGATTGCACCCTTATTATTTTGTCTTTTTAACAAATTTTTTTTTTTTTTTTACAGAAATTCATGTACCAGTATCTACTGTATTGACATAATGAAGAGAAAACGACAATTGAGTTTAAAATGTTAGTGTTTAACAGATGTATTTTAAAAATATTTTTATTTACATGTAAAATTAACAATTGTAATTTATTTGTTTATTCTCTATTTTTTCAGCAACAAATGAATCTCGTGAAGGACATTCTACCAGATTCTTCTACGGTAACTCACAGTCACAAAAATCTGACGAAAATTTGACATTTTCTTCATCGTCATCAACTCCAAAGACTGAGCAGGCTGAACCTCGAAAAGCTGAGAAGAAAACTTTTCGCTCGAGTGGAATGTTCAGATTAAAATGTAAGTTTTTTAAAATTATTTTCTTCAAGTATTTGATTTAAATTGAGGAATTTTTTAATTTTAATTCTTTTGTTTCTTTTTAATTTTCAGCACCAACTAGATCTCGCGAAGAAATGTCTACCAGTTTAATTGAAAAGACTGAAAATGTGAAATCTGGAATTCCGGAGAAACAATCTTTTACTTCCAGTGAAAGATTGAGTTTAAAATGTAAGTTTTTTAAAATTATTTTCTTCTAGTATTTGATTTAAATTGAGGAATTTTTTAATTTTAATTCTTTTGTTTCTTTTTAATTTTCAGCACCAACTAGATCTCGCGAAGAAATGTCTATCAGTTCAATTGGAAAGACTGAAAAGCAAATTTTATCTTCGAGTAAAGGACCGGAAAAAAAATTTCATTTCATAGTCAAAGATTAATTTTGAAATGTAAGTTTTTAATAATTAACCAAGGAAAAAATGATTCGTACGATGAATCATTTTCACCTGGGTACATTTTAAAAATATTTTATTAAAATAACAATTTAAAAATTTTAATTTATTTAATTCCTTTTTTTCTTTTTCAGCACCAAGTGATTCTCCTGAAAAGCTGTCACCGTGTTCAGTTTACCGTGTACCAACAGAAACATCATCATCATCATCGTCATCAACTGGACTCGATTTAAAAATCACTTCTTCAACAGTAAAAAAATCGAAAAATCAAGAAGCTAGTGGTGCTGGCCCCTTTTCAAAACGAAAGAAATACAGTGTCGAGAAATCTGCAATTGGTGTTTCTTCAAACAGAAAAAGAACGTCAATTACTTTGGATAATGAAAATATTGATAAACCGTTGCATCATAAAGTGAGAAGAAGATTGGAATTAATGAGAACAGAAAAGCATACGGTAAAAGTTTGTTTGGGAAAATTATGTAAATCAGCAAACATAAAAAATCGAATTGAAGAAGATGCAAAGGTTGTTTCACCAATGATGTATGAGGCAACAACAATGGCATTATTCGGCCTGTATGAAGAAACGAATGTTGAAAATGTTGAAAATTGCCCAGTAAGAAACGAAAAATTGAAAAGTATTAAAAAGATTCTATTCTTTTGAATGCCATTTCTGTCCAATACTTTTCTATCCAGTGAGAGCAATATGAAAAGTAACGATATCAATCCTCTTGAATACCCAGTAAGAAAGCAAAGATTAAGAAGCATTAAAAAAATTCTATCCTTTTGAATACCATTTCTGCCCTATGCTTCTGAATTCCGCGACAGTAGTATAATAATATAATACTAATATTATTGACATATAGAATGTTCAATTACTTTCAAATAACTGCACTCAAGAATTTATTTGCTATTTTAAAAAGGAATAATTATTAAATTATCAGTTAAGAGGGTTAAAAGTGTTTAAAGGTCTCTGAAATTTTTAGGTTATGATTTATTGTCTAACAGAATAACGGCCCTGACTCGTTTAAATGACGTTAAATTGGTAAACAATCAATTTTTCAGCAAGTTTTTCTTTGAACACAAACACTTTTTACAAAATCTGCCACTGTATGTATTTTATAAATTACAAAAATCCAGAAGATTGCTTGAATGCATGCAGAAACGCGGTTCCAATGAAAAATTGAAAAGTGATATAATGACAGGCTGTAATAATTTCGGATGGGATTGGAAAGCATTCAGAAAAAAATTTTGTCTTTGTTAAAAATTACAAAAAGAATTGAATAGCATTCATTTTTAGACGAAACGTGGTCCTATCATGGTATAGAAAAGTATTGGACAGAAATGGCATTCAAAAGTATTGGATAATTTCTACTACACCATACAGAGTTTGAATTATTTCAATCCTTTTCAATTTTTCGTTTCTTACTGGGTGTCCATCATTGTTGGAGAAATGGACCAACAATGGTCCCGACTTTCTGTCATTTTTAATATCATTAAAGCAGAAAGTAAATGCTCAACGTAAAGTAACTGAACAGGATGCGAAAATAAATACAATGGTCAACGAATATAAAGAATTAAGGAATGACATTCCACTTTATGACGGAGAACATAGAACGGCAATAATTCAGAAGGCAGCTTTAGTGTTGAATCGAAACTTTAAAACAAATTTCACGACGCATGCAGCATCACGATTAAGAAGATATTTGCAGCTATTAATGGAAATTGAAGACGAAGAAAAAAATCATATGGAAGTAGATGAAATTCAAGAAATTTGTTCAGTTTACCGTATCAAAAATGATAATGATGAAAAAATAAAAATTAGGAGTTTTAAAAATAGCATTAAAAATGAACAAAGAAAAGAATTTCAAAAATCTCAAAAAAAAATTCCAGATGAAATGCGAGAAAAAAATACATCAGACTATTGCGATGAAAGATATGTTCGACAGGAAAAATATCACAAACATTGCGATAAAGTCTATTATAAAAAAAGGCCAAGAAGGCGAAGAAAAAAATCGAAAAAGGAAAAAGAAGAAGAAAAAGAGAAGAATAAGGAAAAAGAAGAAGAAAAAGAGAAGAATGAGGAAAAAGAAAAAGAGAAGAATAAGGAAAAAAAGAAATTTCGAAAAAGAAGGCCTTCATTTTATAAACAATCTGTTGCTGCTTTAAATCTCCTGCTGCAAGAAAATAAATGTCAAGTGAAAGGATTCCCTATTGATTTACTGAAAAGGGATGATGTTGATGCTACCAATGAAAAAAAATTGGACTTTAGAAAATTGACAAAAGATGAAGAATGGCATAAATTTTTGCCATTTTTCATTATGATTCAACAACAATTTCATGATAAAAAGAAGAAGAATTTCACATTAATTCCACAAATTTCATTAAGCGTGAAGCATGTCGTTTATACAAATACTGCTTTAAAAGATTTGCAAGTGGCAACTGTTATTCAAGAAATTAAAGAAAAAAAGGCAATTTTACAAAAAAAGAAAAGAAAATCAGGAACGAATAAGGATCATCTTCAAAGAGCAGTTGATAAAATGGACGATGAAATGAAGCGCTTAAGAGAAATGAACAATGAAGAAAGGTGGAATTCAATGTTCAACTTTAAATCAATCCAAAGAGGTCGAAAGAAATTAAAGAATGGTGGTAAATTCTCTGGTACAATAACGACAAATGGTGTGGACGTGTCAGTAATTTTTTATTTACCCACAAAACATGATGTTGTGCAATCAAAGAAGAAAGTTGGAAGTTACAAAAAATTTTGTGGTTTTGATCCTGGTGCGAGGGCGACTCTGGCTGGTATCAGTAGAGAAAACGATCCTAATCCAACCACTAATGTAAAAATAAGGATTCAGCTATTTACATTGGTAGTTGGATAATGAGATGGCAGATGGGCGACTACAGAAGAAGAGAATTAATGAAGAAAAAAGATATAGACATGCAAAAATATTACAAGCAACTTGCTGAGGATCCATGGATGGAAAATTTTTGCATGACTAATCCTCGAGATCGCCATCGCATAACAAAATATAGAATACATCTTTTACAAAATTTCCAAGCAATTCATCAAAAAAGATCCGTAACGCGTTTACGAATTGATCGATATTCAGCACAAAAGCGACAAGTTGATCAACTTGTGAATTGGATAGTAGGTGATACAAAGAAGAAACCCTGTTTCGTTGCTATTCGTGGAGCTGAAATACCTAATTTTATCAAGGGATACACTAAAGCTCCTTTGAAACGTATTCAACAAACTCTTTTCCAAAGATCAGAAGAATTAGGAAAAGATAAATTGCAAGTCGTGAAAGTAAATGAGTTTAATACAACAAAAATGTGTAGTCGCTGTGTGAGACCACTTAAAATATCCAAGAGTTCCCATCGATACACTTATTGTGCGAAATGCAAAACAACGTGGGAAAGAGATGTAAATGCAGGGCGTAATATTCTTAATCTTGCACTTGTTCAAGAGAAAATCATACCAAAGGATTCCATAAAAAATTACCATCTATTTCGGATGAAGAATGATGACATTGAACATGAGGGTGCAGAATTGCAGAAATAATTTTTCCCATCACTTTCAACATTCATTTTTAAATGTAATTTTTTAAAATTTATAGTTTAAAAAATGGTTTTTTTATGGAAAACATTAAAAAATTAATTAATTTGTAATTATTTTCTCTTTTTCAGCACTAAGTAAATCTCTTCAAGGACATTGAAAAGGAGGAACCTCGACAACCGGGAATACAATTTTCTACGATGGACAATATACTGCTTAATTGCGGAAATAATTTAACAAAAATATTATTCGGTCCTGGTGGTGATGGCTTTTTGCCATTGTACATACCGGGGATCTCTCACGAGATCCGAACCAGCCTGTAAAAAGGCATACCAGATTACCAGGTTTTTTAAGAAATTAAAAAACATGCTACTTCTTTTATTGATTATTGTTTGAATTTTTCAAATTTTTTATAAAAACAAAAGCACATTTGTGTTTTTTTTATAAATTAAAATAATCAATAATAGGAGGGGAGGTAATTTTGTAAAAGACATTTATTTCTTTAAATTTAAATCATTTTTTTTTTTACTTATAATTTAGTTTCAGTTTAACGGTGTAATTTTTAAATTTTAATTTTTTCAAAACATTTTAACTTTATTCAACATTTCACTTTAATTTTAAACCTTTTGTTTAACAATTTCAATTTTTTCTTTTACAAAATTACCTTCTAATCAGAAGTACCCTTACCAAATGCAACTTAGCTTGCACTACAAAAATGATCTTATTGGCGAAATGAACCGCGCATTTTTAAAACGTTTTATATTTAAACATATAAAGTACTTTAGATGGACAAGTTTTATTCTACAAATAGAAGCATTTTTGTAGCGCAAGCGCAGTTGCGTTTGGTGATGGTACCTGACGTTGAGTTGGTTATCCTCTCGACATCCACACATCACCGCCGAGTTGGTTATCCTCTCGGACACACAACATCATACGTTGAGTTGGTTATCCTCTCGACATCCACACATAACAACCGAGTTGGCTATCCTCTCGGACGCACAACATCATACGTTGAGTTGGTTATCCTCTCGACATCCACACATAACAACCGAGTTGGTTATCCTCTCGGACACACAACATCATACGTTGAGTTGGTTATCCTCTCGACATCCACACATAACAACCGAGTTGGCTATCCTCTCGGACACACAACATCATACGTTGAGTTGGTTATCCTCTCGACATCCACACATAACAACCGAGTTGGCTATCCTCTCGGACACACAACATCATACGTTGAGTTGGTTATCCTCTCGACATCCACACATAACAACCGAGTTGGTTATCCTCTCGGACACACAACATCATACGTTGAGTTGGTTATCCTCTCGACATCCACACATAACAACCGAGTTGGTTATCCTCTCGGACACACAACATCATACGTTGAGTTGGTTATCCTCTCGACATCCACACATAACAACCGAGTTGGCTATCCTCTCGGACACACAACATCATACGTTGAGTTGGTTATCCTCTCAACATCCACACATACCAACCGAGTTGGTTATCCTCTCGGACACACTACATCGTACGTTGAGTTGGTTATCCTCTCAATACACCAACACCTTTCATCGAGCTGGTTATCCTCTCGATATCCACACACATCAACCAAGTTGGTTATCCTCTTGGGCTTACTACACTATGCTTCGAGTTGGATATTCTCTCAACACAACAACAATCAACGTCGAGCTGGTTATCCTCTCGACATCACTCCGTTATCAAGTAGATCAATTAAGCGCTTATTAGTAACTCTCTTTTCAACTCATCGAACCTTTGTTTACCGACAGTCTCAATTGTCCATTTCTGAGCCAGTTAATCTCCCCCCTACAATTTGACTGGTATCAACTGGCGCCCATACGTTCGCGACGATGTAACGAGCGCATAAGATTCGCGGATTCGCCGTTAAAAACAGCACTATCGAGGCGAATGAAAGCGCTGCAAAAGTTTAAATAAAGAATACAGAAACGAATAATAATAAAATGATCCTTTATATTCTGATTGGCAAACAATTACGCGTTGGACAATTTGACTATAGAAATGAATATAAAATAAAATATTATTAGATATGTTCCTTCTCTCTTTCGTTTTTTTATACAGAAACTAAAACAGAGAAAAAGGCGAGAACATGTGCAAGCAGAAATGGGGAAAACCAGTTTTTATCTCATCTCTTGAATTTGTTATTTTAGGCTAGCTAGAAGGAATAGTATGAAATCGTCGGGTTGCAAATCCTTTTTATAACTTTATAGAAATTGAAATTGAACTAGAAAGCAATAAATAGAGTAAAAACCCAAACCCTGCAGTAAAAGTAATAGAACTTAAAATAACAGCAATGGTCAATCTCGGATCGACCCTTTTTACGAACAAAGGCCTAAACATCTGGGCCATAAAATTGAACTTAGTCCTTTTCGCTAAAAGAGTCACTTAAAAGAAAAAAAAACTATAAAATGTTAAAAAAGGGAATTGCAACCTATCCAATTAACTACCGAAACTCGATGAGTATCACATCAATCTTAAATTGAACCTTTGAATCAACATTTAACATTTTCTCATTAACTTAAATTTAATATTAATTAATTACCTTTTAACATGTAACTTAACATTAATGAAACAAACTTGGCAAATTTAATCATTCTATCGAATCAAAATTTCGTAGCGATAAATTGAATTCATATAATTCCATAGATAAATCAAGATTGATTAAATATAACCCCAGTAGCACGTAATATTACAGCGATATTGGGAACATTGCCTTAACATTACCAATATTGCCTCAATGTTGTGGCATATTGCTGGAATGTTCCCAATATTACGTGCTACTTGGGAATAAACTTCTAGAAATTTTAGATTAAGAATGAGAGTTTAATTGAACGATTGTTGCAAGTGCGATGTATGATTGTTGCTAGTGAGGGATTGCTTAAAAGAAACACGAAGGCCTCCTTACATTTATTAATTCAACAAAAAACAAAGATAGAGATATAGATATAGAGAGATGCAAATTCAAAAATCTTTATAAATTTAATGTTACTATTATTAATATTAAGAACAATCTAATTTTAATCATTGTAATATGTTTAAACTTAATTTCTTTTTCAATATCCCTATTGATAAATATACTTATTATATCGGAGACGATTCCAAAAACATTGAGTCGACTCGAACCAGGTAAATTTCCAACCTGAACAGCGCGCGCATACGTAGAGTAGAAAAAGTGGAAGTGCCGGGGCCCGCGTGGACAGCCGGTACTAGGAGTTCGATTTTGGGACTTGTCGTGAACGGTCATACGAAATCTTTTGTATTTTAACGCTACACACTAAAAAAAAAGTTTTACTTTTAGCCTGTTTTCGAGGCTGAATTTAAGGTGTAAACGGAGTCAGCCCCATTAAACAAGGACAGACTTATGTGAAATACATGGGCTGAATTTAAGGTGTAAACGGAGTCAGACTTTTTTTTTCCTGTGTAGTTTAATTCCCAGCAGATAAATAAACTGTTCCATATAAGTCAAAATAATTTGATTTTAATTACATTTTATTTCTACCGACCCTTTTTACTCACTGTAAAAAAATCTGGTGTAAAATAACACGAAACTTGTAATTTCACACATCAAAATTATAGGTTGTACGTAGTAAATTTATTTCGTTCCAAAAGTAGTTTTACTATTTTTAATAATTTTACATTATACGACTATGTAATTTAATAGTTTTGTGTAAATTTACTACGTCCGACGTAGGAAAATTTGATCACTATGTCCGACGTGGTATTTTTACATTGCGTGTATTTCTACACTTTGACGTAATATTACGTCGCACGATCTGTATAATTACATGGCGAATGTAATTTTCTTATTCCTTTAAAATTTTCAAAAAATTTTCAAGTTTTTATAAATAACTCTAAAAAAGTGTATATAATGTACATTTATAGAAAGTATAATATGCTAATTTATAAGTAAATAATAATATTACAAAAAGTTTTGGGCAATATTTCATAAATACAAAAAGTTACGACTGAAAATATTATTTCAAAAAATATTTGCAGGTTATGTAGATTACAGTCGGCGTGTAAAAATACCACGTCGGACATAGTGACCAAACTTTCCAACGTCGGACATAGTAAATTTACACCAGATTTTTTTACAGTGCTCCTTTCTCATATTTTCTTCTAAATTTTAATATCAATTTGAAGATAATTTAATTTGAAAGTTTCCGCCGGATTTGCACGCGAGAGGATCTCATCGATGGGTTGGGTTTCTATACCCTTTGTTGTGTAACGAATCCAATATTTCTAAAGATTTGAAAATACTAAGAGTTTCGCGCCTAAAGACTGAGTTGCGCGTTACAACGAAGCGACTGCAACGCTTCTTGCGTCTGATATATGAACAAACACAAGCTCTCTCTCCTCACCCCGAATTCCCCGCAAGCATCTAAAAGCCATTGACTGTCCATGACATGACGCAGAAAGAGACATAATAAAAAATTTCGTGTGTTTGGACGCTTTGTGTATTCTATTTCTGTCACGTAAAAGTAAAACTAGTTTGTGGATCGCTTTATTACGCAGTTATTGTGAATAAAATCCAATTTTTCTTTATTGAATAGTGCGAAAACAGAGTTTTCATCAAGAAATTGTTTTTGAGACACTAGTTTTTCGGCGTTAGTAATTGTATGAGTGCATTTAACAATGTCAGTAACCATGGATTGTTTTCATCAGTAACGCGTTCTTGAGTAAAAGTTTTTGACAACTCTTCCTTCACCTCAATTGCCCTTCTCCAAGTTTTTTCGTTTTGATTGAGCGTTGTTTGTTAAAGAAGTTAAAAAAAAGTGAAAAACAGTGTTTTTTTTTCTCAGCCGGGGTCTTTTTTTATAGTGTCCAGATCGTTTTTGAACTCGACGAGTCTACTTTTCGCTGGCGAAACGCCCGCGAATAGTTTTAACTCTATCGTCAAGTTAATCGCACCGGGAACTTTAATAAAAAATCACCAGTGTCAATTTCAAGACGAATTAATATTTTTCTTGATTTGTGATGTACCCAAAGTTTAGCACCGAACGAAGAACCATTAAATCAACAATTAACTTCGTACACTCGAAGAGGAAAGGAATCTTCATACACAAGAAAAAAATGTTCAAAGACACAATAAGTCTCAGAAATCGTATAAGTTTTTTAAAAGCTCGTCGCTACTGAACGATTTCATTGAGAAGCTTTATTGGGATTTAAAAGTTTTTCTTTCACATCAAGATCAATGAACGTATAAAACTCTCGCTTAACGATAGATCCTGATCTATAAAATTGTCATCTTTGTTTATAGAGATCAAAAACGATAATAAAAAAAAAACAAAAAACAAAATGAAGCTGTTAGAGAGTTCACGATTTGAAGCAATTAATAGCGCTTTGTCAATTACCACTGGCGACAGTAAAATAATCGGAAGGTATTTAATATTTTACAATGAAAGTTTTTTATTCTTGTTTAATGCAAATATTTACTAAATGTTTTATTAATACCATAGGATTGAAAGTTATTCTTGTAAAATGGCTGGAAATGATAAACAGCTTTACAAACGGTTTAATTCAGAACAAGGAGTTACACCTCATGATCTTCAAGCTCTTTCACCTCCGCAAACATCTCTTGGAACATCACCAGCTCAAGGTTACTGCAGGTAATAATTATTAAGAAATATAATTTAAAAAAACAATTATTAATAATCAGTTGTTTTGAATTTCTTTTGTTTATTTAAAAACAAAAACTGTTTGTTTACTGTTATTTTTTGACCTTGATAAGATTTTGATACAGTGACGTTTAATGAACTTTATAAGATATCACTGTGTTTGATTAGCTGTCAATGAACTTGAATTTCAAATAAATTACTAAAATAAGTCAAGTAGTTGAATGACAGTGTGACCTTGGGAAATAAAAGTTTTGAACGTTCAAATGAACGAAATATTATTTTCTACTGCAATATTTTTAAAAATTACTGAACTGAAATAAAAAAAAATTTAATTAAATATTTATTTAGTTAAAAATTATTTTTTTAATTTTGTAAATAAAATTCAAATTAAAAACGGTTATAAAAATATCGTCGTTCATTTGAACGTTCAAAACTTTAGGGACATGTGACCTTTCAATATTTACTAAGAAAAGATATTTATTACGAAATTAATAGTTATGAAAAAATATTTACAGTTTAAAATTAATATTTTAGTATGGATCAATAAAATGTTTTTATATTCAATCACAAGAAAATTGACATTTTTTTGAACGATAACAATTTTTAATTTTATAATGAAATATGCATTTATATATAAAACAAGTACAGGCAAAAAATGCTGACTGCAACAGTTATTATTTAAGATAACGCCTGCTGAATAAACATATTAGAATATACCTATGCGTTATCAGAGTCTGCTTTATTAAATATATATATATATACCGAGAATGAATATGGAAGTGAGATTAAATCTGACTTTTCTTTGTTTTCATAACTAAATCAAATCAAGATGATGTAGAAATAAGAAAATCATTATGAAATTATTTAATTTTAGTCGTAGTATTTCTGGGGACGAGGAAGGCCCTCTTTGTGACACAATAAGTCGTAAAACTTTATTCTACTTGATTGCGACCTTGAATTCAGCTTTTCATCCTGACTATGATTTTTCCGATGCAAAGAGTCACGAATTCAGTAAAGAGCCGAGTTTACAATGGGTAATGAATGCAGTTGACAGTAATCTCAGCGCTACAGCAGGAGATCATTATCGTACTCTTCGCACTGCACTTTGGGCTGCTGTGGAAGATGAAATTTCAATGAAGGAGTGCGACATTTACAGGTATATACAATATTAAATATTAGTATGGTCATTTTTCAAGTTATCAAACTGAAATTCTATTTTAAATAAATTCCTTTTTCTTTACAGTTACAACCCAGATTTAGCGTCTGATCCATTTGGGGAAGATGGATGTTTGTGGTCATTTAATTACTTTTTCTACAACAAAAAACTAAAGAGAATCGTATTCTTCACTTGCAGAGCAATCAAGTAAGATTCAAAAATTAAATATTTATTTAATTTTTATCTTTCAAATTTTAAATAAAAATTACTTAAAAAAATTATTGTCTAGTCCAATCTATGCTCTGGATTCTGGCATTGGGAGTGATTTTGCAATGGATGAAGACGAGGAGGATTATTAGCTTTAAGCTACATTAAAGTTAACAAGTTTTCATTCATAATTATTATTTCAATATCGAAATCTTTATATATATATATATAAACTTTTTCTTCTTTCTCAACTGATTTCTCCATAATATTTTCAAAATTATTGACTTGTGATAGCATTCTTTTATGCATTGATATTTATATGTGTTAATTTTTACGTGATCAATTTCCTGGTGAAATATCTTTAAATAGATATTATAAATGTAAAATCTTTTCTTGCATTAAAAAAATCCTTAGGATTTCTTTTATTTCTAAAGAAGTAGACTTAAAAAAGAAAAGAGTAATATTTCACATTATCAATTTATGTGTAAAACTTGCCTATTTCTTTCTTTTTATCCTTATTGATATTTCTTTGTGTACGTAATGAATTACTATTTACGTGAAATGAGTTTGCGTGCTTCATTATGTTTGCTCATAATTGAAAAGTAGTTTAAAACAATGCGAAAAGTTAATAGAAAATGGAATTTTCAATTGCAATATACTTGAGAATTGAATTTTGTGTTAGACACAATGGATTTATATAAGTGCTGTGTTTTGTTTTAATTAAATTAACAAACAGTTTATACACACAGCTGTGCAGTGCACTGTAAAGTGTTCTTTTTTTGCGTAAATCGTAAAATGATTTAACTATGAATGGTAAATTTAAGATAAAGTATTTCAAATAAAAAATTGTCAAAGATCTCAATTCTGATCAATAACTTGATCATCTGTAAAATGTATCACAGAATTTTGCTTCAAGGTGGTTGGAAAAATTCACCAAATTGTAACTTTAGATTACGGTGCACTTATGTAATATTTAAAAAAAATTTGAAAAATACATCTTCTAATTGCTTATTGCCTAATGTCGTTTATTAGTTAATAAGCTTACTGGACTTACGAATATGTAATATCAATAAGTTATTCTTTTTATCTTGAAAAAAATTAATTCCCTTTTTATAGAATTAGTTGGGTACTACATGAATATTAAAAAAGAATCAAATTGTAAGTAGGCATATAAAATGCATATTTTAATGTAAAAAGGCTGTTCATGAGACATAAGTTTCTTTCCCCAAAAAAATGTCTCTAGGGGGCAATAAATAAATGTAAATTAGAGAATATAGAAGTAAGAAGGTGTATAACGTAAGAATATTTAACTATGAATCAGTCCACGAGTGCGAAGAGGACGCTCTTATGCGTAAAGTAAGTAAGTATTCTTGCTGTATATAGTTTAACTTTGTATGAGAACATACAAATTAAAAATTGGAATTTTATGAATTTTTTCACTAGCGATGATAAGGTAAAAGTACCAATTATGGGACGCTATTTAAGCTAAACTAAATTTCTATGATAAATTTCTTGGAATCGGGAGTGTTAATATGAATAATTAGGGTATAGATTGAAAGATTGATATGTTATGAATAATATTTAGACCCTAAAATGGTTATTTTTCATGAAATAAAAATAATATTAATTAAATTATGAAACTCTGCACTGCACTAATTATGGGACTATGATTTCTGTATGTACGGGTGTCCCATAATGAATGTTCCTATTATGAGACATTTATTTAATTCAATAAGTAATTAGAATTCTATTGACTTATCCTAATAATTTGAATATTAATTATAAAGAATAAAATACAATAAACAAATTCTGGTTTAAAAAATAATTATAAAACTAATTTTTCTGGTAGAAAATTAATGCGAAAAAACTGAAAATATTTGAGGTTATGTTTGCTGTATATTTCCTGTGTGTCTCATAATAGGGATAGCAAATAATAAGTGCACCTAATGTGGGACGGTAGTCTGACGAAAAACTTGGCTTACCTTAATTTAAAAGCTAAAATGCAAATAAACATTTCTTATTAAATTAAATGCTATACACAAATAATTATTCTTTTAACGTGTAAAATTTTTTGAAATAAGTAGAAATTTCTTATGACCAATTTTAATTGCATTTATTTTATTTTTTGTAATACTGTCTCATAATAGGGACAAAATTGTAAATTGTCCCATAATTGGGACCTTTACCTTAGCCTTTTCCTTTTTTTGACCTTTGTCGCAGTCTCAAAACTTAAGAGAAAAAAACAATTTTTTCTTTTATCACAATTGTACAATGGCTGTCAAGTATTTAAAATTCAAATCCAAATATAAACATATCTTGATTTTAATTTTAATAACTTTAAATAATAATATTGGAGAAAAATAATTTTTATTTTCTTTTAAGTGCGATATAATTGAAAATAGTTGGAACAATGCACATGAATGATGAAATTAATTTAGTCTCGAATGATGCATTAAAAGTACATAGAAAGAAAAAAGATTCGACGAGCTACCTACAGAAATAAATTTTACAATATATATACATGTAATTTCTATATTTTGAAAGAAGAAACTTTTTACTTGAGATAGTTATCATATCATACAAATTTATTGTGTTTTATTCTCTTTGTGCCCAACCTGAACATTATTAAATCGATTCAGGTGAATGTACGAATTAAAATATTAAAATAAAAAAATTAACTAGTCTAACTTACCCATTCGCTTTGTTCAATTAAGTTTATTTATACATCATAACATCTGGCGACTGGTACATACACATATACGCATCACAAAATAGCCGCTTTGCATGCTCTGGCAATTGGCGATCGTCTGTTACTTTTGATAATTTATTTGCTCCTTCTTCGCTCAACCAATGTGGAAAATCCGGACAAGGAACCATCTCGGGAATATTATAACCATTCTGTTCGCCTGAAGCAAAACAAATTTTATTACATTATTTTTGCTTTAGTGCCTGTAAACATTAGTAATCATCTTTACCATTTATTTGAAAATTATTTTAATTTTCATTTATTCTTCAGGAAGACTAATTTTAATCAGTAGAACCTCGATAAGTTAAAGTTGAAGGAAAACGAATTAGCTTCGAGATATAGTTTAAATACATGGAATAGTTCTTACAGAGGTTCCAGAAAAGGAATGGACATTTCTTTTAACTTATCGAGGTTCTACTATATTTTCATATTCTTGGTCTTAGTTTTAGATTTTGTTTGTTGGGATTAGTTTGACTGCGATTCGCAAATAGGATTATTATACCTTTTCGATCGGCCATCGAATCGAAGAAGCACCAGGGAGCCTCAGAACCAGGTCCACATTTTACAAACGAAACGTAATGCGAAGTTTCAATACAAACTACAGCAAAAAGTTCCAGAAATAATCGAGGTACGGGACAATGTTCCTGAAGAGCTGTGTAATCCATTGGAACTTTAAGTTCCTTTGGTTTGTGATTAATTCTTCTTTCATGTTTATGGGCCTAAAAAAAGGAATCAAATCAAGTCAAAAATAAAAATAATTCATAAAGAAAAGTAATATAGGGTAATTGTCAAGGTAGGTATACAGATCATTATGTTAAATTTAAAGCAAAAATTGAGGGTCCTAATAAAAGAGCCAGTTAGATTCAAAATTCTCGACCTCTTAATAAAGAGAGGATTTAAAATTTCAATTTCTTGAAAACATTTCGTATTTGTATAAAGATTACCAAAATGTTTCTCAAAAAATTGGGGTTAAAAACAGTTTAATTTTTGACTTATAGGGCAATGATTTTGAGCTTAAAAAATTATAGCCGGTTCTTTGATTGGGACCCTTAATTAAAGAGAAGTAAGTATTTTCTTCATGAATAAAATTCAATTAATTTTTTACCGTTTCTAGACATTCAATGCAAAATGCAATACTCTCGAGTCCGTCGCCACATTCACCGTAACATTGTTTGCATTCATAGACTGCTAACTTGGAACAAACTGTGCATTGTCTAGGAGCTGAAAAATAAGTAACGATTGAAAGAAAATCTCTTTCTGAGGATATTTTTTAAATGCTTTACGAGAAAACAAGGCCTTACAATCTTCTATTATATCGGTCACGTCCAGCAATAGTGTGGGTTGAATTTTCGGATACATTTTAAAAGACTTTCCAAAACGAGGCATTTGTATGATGAGACACGAAGGAACTTCCTTCAATCTAATATTACTTGTAAGAAAACTTTGTTCAAGCAAATGTTGCACAGTCGGTAAACTGAGATGTTCGTCCTTTTCAACAAATAATTGATAATGATATGCTTCTTGACCTGAACTTAATTTCAAAAATGGTTCTGCATTCAAAATTTGTGCCACTAAAGATGTTAAAAATTCTTCTGGGTCTTTTTCTTCGCTAGTAAGACCTGAAATTGATGATAATTTTTCAAGAAGAGTTCTTAATTTCATGACACGATCCGCTCGAACGTAAAAATTTTTTCTCAAGGGATTTACAATCTCCTCGCGAAGAACTCTTTGCACTTCTTCATATTGTTCACAGTCTTCAACATTTTGTGGCCTAGAATAAGTTTTTTCTAATTTAGCTATTTACATTTTTTTATAAATCTTGATCAACTATTTACTATTAATTATTACCTAAATAAAAGGTTGTCGAAAACACTGGTAAATGTGAACATACTAAATAGAGTCGCATCTAAATAACAAGAATTATGATGACCTTGAATTCCTCGATTTTTACCGCAAATTTTCTCTAAATCTCCTTTAACAGATATTGGACGCACCATTCCGGCTACTACAGAACTTTCCATATTTCCAAAATTATCAATATTTGTTTTGCCCTTGTGACTTTCAATCTTTTAAAAAGAATAAATTTTGAATAATAATCTGTAATTAAAAAGTTAAATATTTGTAAATAAGAGACTTACTGAAGTGTCAAATTTATGACACTTTTTAATGTCTGTAAAGAAGGCTCTCTGTGGTCGACACTCGAAATATCTTTCATCTTTATAAATTCCATCTGTTCCTAAATAATGATCATCGTCCTGAAAAAATGTATTCACTTACAAAAACAATTTCTTATTTTAATTTTTTAATAGTCATTTTTTTTAATTTCCAAATTTGAATTCGTTGAAATTTAAAAGAAAATTGAAAATAAGAAAATAGATATTTTTTATCTACTAGCTCAACAGCCGCCATGGTTTTTCCAGGAGGAAGACCTCGTGGCATGCCAATCCATCTGACAACACCAGAACGTGTTTCTTTATCCAAAAGCACTTTGACATTCGACCCAATACATAAATTTCCAATGTCAGAAACTAATCCATGTTTATTTTCTTCTTTTTCTGTTTCATCATCTATAAAATAAAAAGAATTGATATTTTAAAATTCTCAGTTCTATTTCTATAAGAATAAATTTCTTTATTTGGAATTAAATTCCTTTAAATGTTATTAAAAATTTATCAAATTTTTGCAAGTAGAAAAAATTACTTTTAAGGGAGGAAATATTTTTTAATTTTGATTTACACACTTTTTTCATCACTTTGTAACCAATTATCATCATCGTCATTATTCAAATTACTAAAATCAGAATCTGTATCACTATTCCAATTTCGTTGCAATAGAAAGAGGGGGATGTCTTGAACAATCGCTGCCATTTCATAACAAAATTACAATAGAGTAAAGAGTTGTTCACGATAGCAAACTCGACGAGACTAAGCACGGAATAAGCGACTGTCTAAATTTAAACGCTTTAGTTATTTTTATCTCGCTTTTATGGTATGCGGAAGGGACCGGTCAAGAACAAACAGACATAAAATCAAAATTTAAAATAAAATAAAACTCCATAAAACTTTTGTAATGATATTAATTACCAAAATGTAATAAATTATAATCATCCGAATTTCTGCTTCCTTTTCCATTATCACTTGTTGCCATTTTCTCTGAGGACACATCTTTGGCGAAAGATATAAGTTCTCGATTATTATTTGTGTTGTCGTCAAATCCATATTTATCAAAAAGGGAATCATTCGTTTCTTGTCTAACTTTTACACAATCATTACTACGACTATTGCCACTGTTGTGGCAATAATCTCGTTTTGTTTTGCCCATGTCATTATGCAAAAAATCTGTTAATAATAAAATATTTTCATTAATAGTTTATCCAAATTTAAGACAAAAAATAATTATAATGAAAGTTTCATTACTTTTTTCGACACTTATGGTCGTGTCAAGGGTTTCTTGATTACAAGGAGTAATACTGCTCACTGCGGCAAATTTCACACTAAACCCATTCAGCAAATCTCTGCTTTCCTGAAAGTCAACAAACTAAGTATTTTCCGAAAGGATCATCATTAATAAATATGTAATTAATTTACCAGTAGTTCAAGGCAAAAGTAAACTCCATTTCCTAATTCCGGTACCGGTCCAATTAAGTTGATAATTGCTAATTCGACAGATGAACTTCCATTCGAGGAATACCAAACTTTGTCATTCACATGGATATTTTCAATGTCTTTGCAAAACTTTTTGTTATTTGCAATTTTCACTCTCTCATTATTATCGGAAACTGCAGCTAAGTACTGCCATATTTTTTTCGACACAAGAATAAGATCGTGAGTATGACAGTTCCATACTGTATTGGACCAAACACTAAGCTCGTGTTGATCTTTAATTCGAATTCGAATACTAAGATCATCCGATTCTCTACACACTGATTCAATAAGCATTCCTAATTTTAAATTACTGACATTGACATCACATTTTCCTGATATTCTAGTTACAGTCGTGTCTTTTTTAACAACATAATACTGCTGTATTCTTAAATGTTCCTGGATCATTTTGCTACTACACAAATCATCCATCATCTCGATTTATTGGATAATTATTTATTTCAATTTCATCAAACTTTCTTTTCAGATAAAATTAATGGCTAAGTATATGTAATATATTTTTAAGACACATATTAAATGTAATCATGAAAACACTCTTTTTGGGAGATTTGAAATTACTTTCAAACACGTCCAAAAGGACGTGTAATTTTTAACTACAGATTCACATTATTTTTTCTTCAATGTAGAATTAAAAACAAATTTCTCGTTAACACTGTTTAAATAATAATTAAAGAACAATGACATTGAATAAATCACATTTTCATATTTGACAACATGTTTTTTTCCACAAGGAATCAGGTTGAAGTCCAACGCACAATAGGTTCGCGAATGTCGTTCGCGAACGAGACGCATGAGATAGACAAGGACACAAATATATCACTGTCCTTTTCTAACTCGTGCTTTGCATTCGCGAACGACTTTCGCGAACGAACCTATTGTGCTTAGGCCTTGAAACAGGTGATTGGTTCACATGGTTTTTGACAGAAGTGACATCTACCTTTCCCGCCTTTCCGCCACACGTTTGAAATTGACTTTTACAATATAACATTTTTTATACATAATTTAATGAAAAAAACATTATTGTTGGATAACTTTCATTTAACTGTAAGAAATTGTAAACAAAATTTCTTTTACTAATTATAATTATAAAAAATTATAAATTATAAATTTTAATTATAATTATTTCGATTATTTCTAAAAATACGTATGAAGCGCATGCGTCAACAGCCATCTTTAATTTCTCTTTCTTCCGGTTTCTGTTTTCCGGTGAGTTCAGTGTTTTAGTTGTTTCTTAATATTCATCAGTTTTCCATAAAAATCCGTAAAATCTACGGAAATCCTAGAAATTATAAATAAAATATACCCCGCAAATAACTTCTACGTAAAATTACTTAGTTAATTTATATATATTAAAGCAGTAAATATCAAAATATATTTATTTCATTTTGCATAACCTAAAAATTTAGACAATTTACAGCTTGCAGGCAAACATTGAATTTAATTTATTTGTTATTTATTTTTACAGTAATCAATAGTGCGTGAAAAATGGCCAAGTCCAAAAATCATACGAATCACAATCAAAGTAAGTATTATAAATTTTGTTGAAAATTCTAACCTTTACCAGCAAATTTTTGTTGTGTGTTTACATACTTGATTCTTCCACGTTTCTTTTAATGTTAATACATATTTAAACAAAAATAATTTATACTAGGTTATTAGAAATATAACTTGAAATTGATGGTTTGAAATACTAAAAATCTGCAACATTTAATTTAGCATTAAATTGTTTATAAAACCTAGAAATATCCATAATTTTTATATTTTAGTTTTCCTTTCTAAATTATTGCTGTTTTAGAGTATTTCAATTAGATTAATAAAAATTTTGTTGTAACTGTTTATTCTTGCTTAATAGTTTAATTGAAAATCGCATAATGTTTATTTTAAAATATTACTTTCAGACAGAAAAGCTCACCGCAATGGAATCAAGAAACCCAAACGTTATAGGCATGAATCCACCCTTGGTGTAAGTTTTTAATTTTTTTTTCATTTAGTTCGAAAATTAAAGATTTTTAACCCATTAATATTTGAGTCAATAGCATAAATTCTGATACAATTGATATTGTTTTTTGAAATTCGAGTTTCTACATTATAACTTGCAAAATGTTGAATTTATTTAGAAAACTTTTACAATGTAATTTAACGAAATTATTATTTTAAAACGACGACTATATTTAGAAAAATTAATTTCCAGATGGATTTGAAATTTTTGCGAAATCAACGATTCGCAAAGAAACACAATCTAAAGCCAAAAGCACAATTAAAAAGGGCAACAGAACGTAAAGCCTTACGTGAATCTAAGAAATGAATTTCTTTATAATTATTGTAATTTAATTTAATAAAAAAGATGAAAATCTAATTTCACTATCTAATTTATTTAATTTCTCTAAACTCAAAATCATTTCATTGTGGTACGAGTTTTTCTTTTTGAAAGAAACATCAATTTTGTCAACTTTTTTTGTAAGTTAATAAATATTGTGGATAAAATAATTAAAAGAATTTTTATTCGATAAATAAAGTGGGAGAATATTTTCATTAATATTTAAAATGTGTTAATTAACTGAATAAATTATGATAAATATTTTTAGTTGCGTAAAGTGTCACGAGCCAAGAATCGTTTCATTTTAAACAGAATTGTCTAGTCAAAATTTCTTCAGTTTGTGAAAAAAGGGAAAGCGTATTCTAATGAGAGCATAAGTGGAATTCAATATGGCAGCCACGGGAAGTGATGATAATTGTCAAGGAACGGAAAATATAAATCATTTTACAACACTTAAACACATATTAATTTTCAGTGGCAAAAGAAAATCGGGAAAAGATTATATCACGGATAAATTATTTGAAAGGTAATATTTTTATTTCAATGTAAAAGACATTTTTAAATTTTACTGAAAACTATTTATCTCTAACCTATTTTCTTTAATTTAATATAGTAAAGATGAATATATTTTTTTCTGGTCATGAATAATGTATTATAAATATTTCAAATTTAAGGACGTTTAGGGTAATGTCACCTTGAGTGGACCGCCTAAGCTTTTTTTCGAAAAAATTCTTTATGAAAGCAAATTAATCGGAGGTTTCTATTCCATGCTTTAGTTTAGATTCCTAGGTAAGTGTTTACACCATAATAGCTTTGTTTTATTTTTATTTGGAAAAAACAATTGACTTTAAAAAAATACCGTCAAATAGGGTAACTTCGGACGGTTTTCGATGTTTTTTATTAATATTTTTTATAATATAATATCTGGAAGTTTGACGTTCAGAATATATCATCCTTAGGGTCTTGTGTGTTGATATTTCTAGTTAACATTTTTTTATTTACCTCTGTTATTTTCTGTGAAGTAAAAAACAAGTGTCCGGAGTTAGCCTTCAAAGTGGGGTAACTTCGGACACCGTATAATTTTTTGTATAATTTAAAATTATTTTGGATAATTATATTATTTACGTATTTTTGTTTTAACAAGAAACTATTCTAAGGTTCTCAGACTATTTATTATAATTTTTTTAGAAAAACAAAAACTAATTAAATTCAATTAATGGTGCATTTGAAAAATGAACTTTTTTAAAATTTAGCGATTTTTAATATAATTTTTTGGACATAAGAATGTAATACAATTTGAGAATATAAACAATATATATATTTAAAGCTTTTAAACATTTAATAAAAGTAAAGTCTGACTCAATTTACTGTAATCAACACCAGAAGACGTGTATCTGACCATTACATTTTCTTAAATAAAAATAATTTACGAAATAATTTTCGAATTTAGGTTATTGAAATTAGTGTTAATTTTATGTCAAGACATAGTAGATTAAATTTTAAAAAAGAAATAGCTTTTACCTTACATATGTTCGCTTATAAAAATAAGTTTTTTCATAAAGTTCAATAACTTCCTAAAATCTCTTCTGACTAAATTAATTTTTTTCTTAAATTTTTTGATTATTTTTATTTCTCAACTGTCATATAATGTTCCTTGAATGTTTGGTAAAGCAATAGAAATTGGAAATCCTTATAAAAATTTTTAGGTAGAATGGAAATACAAAATATTTACAGAAATATACGAATGTCCGAAGTTAGCCTCCTGTCCGGAGTTAGCCTATTTGACGGTAGCTAATTTTTAAGGAATGAAAAAAGTGTAACCTTGAGTGGACCACTCCTAAAAAATTGTAAAAGTTATTCTATTTTCTTTAATTTATTTAATATTTCTGATATATTAAAACAAAATTTATGCTTATGCAGCTTCAGACCATGATTGTGTCGCAATGTTTACAAGTGAAACCACTTTTAATAATTTTGGCACATATTACATCAATATCACAAAAAATTAATAAAGAACATTAAACATAGTTTTAAACCAATTTATTTCCTTAAAAATGGTAAACTGACATTAAAAATATAAAAAACAGGCAGTCCTCTCATGGTTATAAACAGTGGTCCACTCATAGTGAAATACAACTTTTTATGGCAGCCACCACAATTTTTTTTGAGTCAAAATTATCACTTAATTAAACTAAGACAATCAATTTCAATGTCCAAAGTAGTAGGGAAAAAATAAGTTACCTTTTAAAACTTAAATTTTACACTACTTTTACACTTCTGAATCACTTTACTCATTGTAAGAGCGACTTCTTTTTTGGTTTGCATTCTTAAAAATGCGTTACATCAAACAATAACGTACATGTTTATCGCGGAACTTAATTTATTACGGTTTCTAGGTGCAGTGCTGCTATTCGTTTTATTTATTTCATAATTCCGCTGTCAGATAACTTAAAAGCTCAGGTGGTCCACTCAAAGTGGCGGTCCACTCAATGTGACATTACCCTATCCGAAGAAATCCAGACCTTTAAAAAAGAATTAATTATTATGTCTTAAATAATTAAAATATAAGTAGGGTGCTTCTGCACCAGTTTTTGCCACTAGTCAATATTTATTGTAATTATTTATATATATTTAAGTTAATTAATAATTAAATGAAAAAATGACCAAAACTGGAGCAGTGGCTACGAATGGTACAACTATCCTATTAATTGTAGTTTTTAGGAAAAGGAAAATTGTATCGCTTCTGTAGAATTTTTTAAAAATGATTCGATTTTAATATAAATATGGCTTATTTCTAGAGACACATATTTTATGCAAGTCGCATAATCGCATAATGTTCTCAAACTGAGCATAACTTCTGTATTTTGTAAATTATTAAGAATTCATACAAAATAAATGTGATTTGTGATCGCATCCAATTGCATAATTATACTTTCAGTGCATAATTTTTTTTCATTGTATAATTTAGCACTATTTGCATAATCATCGCATAATTGTTAATTTTTTGTTTAAAAATACTATAAAGTATCTTTTTTATGTTAACAAACTGAGTTTAGTTTCGTGTCGACTCGAAACTAAATTATTAATTTAGTTTCGAGTCGACACGAAACTAAACTAAAAAAATTAAATTTATTTCAGTGCAGATCGAAAACAAGTGTCTGAGAAACTCAATTATTTAGTTTTAATTAAAAAATCACAGCAAAAAACAAAATATTTAAAGTAATAATATTATTATAAATTTAATACTAGATATAAAGCAGTATAAAGAGACTTCAATAAAAGGTGGATTCCACGTCAGTTCAACATACTTTGGGATTTGGCTGTACTTTTGTAAATTCATTACATTTATAGTGATAAACAACTCCACCAAATATTTTTTCAAAATTTTGAAAATTACCAAAAATATGGCATTTTTAAAATTTTTGTCTTTTTTTGAAAATGCTATAACTTTAATTCTAATTAACCGATTTTGGATCTCAAAGGGATTCGGAGTAAAAAAATAAAACGTAACCATATTACGAACATATGGGGCAAAATTACTCAACTGCCCAGGTAAAAAAATGAATTTTCTCTAAACTTTGCTAAAATGTTACTATTATTAGTAGAAGTGTAAATATTAATTTTTTTTTGAATTTGATAAAATATTTTTTGAGTTATAGAGTTTCAAAATTTTGATTTTTTTGAAAATATCTTTTTTTCGATTTAATATATTGATAAGTAAAATTAATCAAATTTAAAGTATGAACAGTGATTTTTAAAGGGGGTTTCACGGGCTATAAGCTGGTGACCTTTTTTCAATGAGCCATGTAAAAATCAGAGTGGGACCATGAGAATTTTTGAGGAAAATAATAATTTATCATTATTTTACATATAAAATGATGATTTCTAATTAATTTCTTCAAAATGTTCCATGGTCCCACTGAAATTTTTACATGGCTCATATCACGGGGGTGACACTCTCGAGTTGAAACTAACCATACTGTTGACTGGTGACCACCGTGGCGCTGGCTGGTTAGTTGGCCGATATTGAGTAAAAATGCATTAGAAAAAAAGAAAAATTTATTTTACAATCAATAATATTAATTTAATGGTATTTATTTGTATATAATATTAATCCAGTATCTTTTTAGCATTTTTTATAATATTAAAAACTTAGAAAAAGCGTTTAATATTTTATTTATAATGAAAATTGTGCAACAATTCATGGCGGGAAATTTAAATTAATAAAATTATAATTATTTTTTATTATTTTAATTATTGCTACTGACTATTTTTAATAATATTTTACAGTATAAATAAAAATTTGCATACTTTGGAAATTGATAAATAATTAAAATGCATATATATATGCATTTATTTTTTTATTTATTTATTATTTATTTATTTTATTTATTTTATTTATTTACTTTTTTATTTATTTTTTATTAATTGCTATAGCAATTAATGATCGCACCACTGATATAAACAAAATTGTCCAAAGAACCACCCCTGTCCGTCTTTCCCAGAAAGTAGTCAGCTTAGTGGTTTGCACTTTAATGTGCAAAAAAGTTCCTCGAGATGGCGCAGTACTCACTACTCGTCAGCAATATTCGTTACCTCATTCATTATTGTATTTGTTGTGTTGAAATCGGTTAGAAATCTCAACTAAATTTTATAAAAAAATGTGAAAGTAAAAAAAGTATTAACATTAAAAACTATTTTAATGTTGTAAAAAGAGCATATTGTTTAAAAAGTGAAAATGTTTTTAATCAGTAGCCGGCAAAGCTTGCCTTAGTTTAAAAATTTTTAAAAAAGTTTAAAACTTTTAAATTTTTATTTAGGGTCAAAATAAGTGAAACCGGCCACTTGAAAAATTTTTATCTCCAATATTCAAGTTATCTATGATTTTTAGTAGATATATGAGTACACTTTTTCCCCCTAAAATATTTTTCAAAAAAAAATTTTATTTTTGAAGTAATTAGGTATTGAAGTTTTAGGTCATTTTATTTTCATTTTATTATTACTTTGAAACAAATAAAGATAATTAAGTAATTTTTTTTTAAATTAAAGCTTAAAGTCTATACTTTAAAGATGAAATAAAGCGATTGCTAAAAAATGAAAATTTATAATTGTTATTAACAATTCTTTTAAACAATTGCAAATTGAAGAATGTTCTCAATGTTTTTGAAAGATTAAATTACCATATATTGATGCGCAAAACTATAAGGATTCATTTAAAAAAAAGAAAAATGAGTAACTTCCAATATTATAGAAATTATGTAAATTTTGCTGACAAAATGCAATAGCAAAAATTGACTCAAGTTCCTGGAAAAAGATAAAATTGCAAACGAATAAATAAGATCTTCTTTTGTTTTGTTAGAAACTTCACGCTTTCAAGCGGATTTTTAAGATTAAAAATCGATTTTGGCCTGCATTTTGGCAGAAAAATCTACACAATTTCTATAATATTGGAGGTTACTCATTTTTCTTTTTTTTAAATGAATCCTTATAGTTTTGCGCATCAATATATCGTAATTTAATCTTTCA